ACCTAACACTTTCCATTATAACACCACATTTCCAGTCCCTGAGTTTAAGTTTGAAGAAAAGCAATCCTACCATTAAAAAAAAAGTATTAGGACCGCAATTTTGCAAACATTAATAAAATCTTACAACTATTTTACCAATGGATTTGAGGGATTTGGTATGTCAGCTGAGTTCTGCCTCCTTGTGAAAATTCATTAAAAATTGGATGAATATTAAACCTTTGGAATTTCCTAAAGGCACATATAAAGCAGAGGTCTTTCAGTTTCAAGAAGATCAAAAAAATCACAGATTCCACTTGCATTAAGCACGCTTCAGGTCTCTCAGAAATGAAGATGATAAACAGAAATCTTGAATAGTTACTCATTCTGTGAAACCATCTTATCACGGGTCTAAGCAGGCACTCCCTGGAAAAATAGTGTGTGACCCTGTAACCAAAATAAATTTAAAAGAGTTGAATTAAGATTTCATGGGAAACTCTAAATACGGCAATGCTTACATTTTGCAAACAATTTGAAATAAAGGTTTGCAAGCTACTTGAAGTGGACAAAAATGCCTTTTCTTTGGAATAACCTCTCTGAGATATTCTAAATATGTTACTGGATTTAAGTAGACATGACTTTTACATCACATGCTATATTAAAAAAAAAAAGAAAATGTACAGTCGAGGGTTTTCATGTTTTGCTATTATTTGAACTTTTCAGAAAAAGGTGATAACATTTATCACAGTTGTCTATTGGCCTAGCGTTGTGTGAAACACTAAGAATGTTTCTCTCGACTAGATCAATGCAAGTACCAAATAAGCACAGATCTTGTCCACGTTCAGGAACACTGCCCACCCGCTGGGGCCCTTTCAGCAGGGCTCTTTCTCTGGTCATTCATCCTGGCCTCTTTTCTCAGATACCACACAGCTCTGCAGTTGCTCTGGTTACTCTCTTTTTGGTCTCATTCCTACTTGTTTGGTGTTCATCCCTGTAACTCTTCTGCTCTGTTTTCCCCAGGTGCTTGAGGGAGACCCTTTGTAATATTTCCTTTCACATTTTTTCCCCCAAAATGTTTTAGATCTGGAGTCTCATTAGGCGTTTCTCCTACTTCTAACTACGCAGTAGGCAAAGCCCCGGGATTCTCCTTATTGACAAAGGACTAAAAACTGGTTTCCTGGCTCATAATTACTGGAATTCTCAGCCTTGTGGTTTGGCTCTGCAAACCCGGGAGTGTCGAGCTACATCTCGAGCCTTGTGGTTTTGTTCTGCAGCTTGTCACTGGCAAGCTACAAAGCAAAGCCACACCACAACTGCGAGCCACAGGAGGCTTGCTCTCCTACATCACCCCCTCGGAGCTGCCGACTCGGAAGCGCAGCCCGTTCCAAGGCTCCTTGCTACTGCTGATGCTCGGCTGAGGGCTGCTATTATGCCTAATGTAGATGTTCGGTCTGATTGGACACAGATGTTCAGCAAAGTATCCAAAGCAATTACTTCCCATCAGGAACGCTGTCCCTTTTTAGGCTGAAAGGAGACGAACACGCATCCGACAGGCAGACACTGGGAGGGAGGCACACATCTCCTGCCAGATTCAGGAGCACATGCAAGCTCCGAGGTCGGGGGCTTAACCTGCTCTGCGCTTCCTCGCGGTCCTGCAGGACGGGCCTCTGCGGACACAACGTCTCCCTTCCTGATTGCCGTAACGATAACAAGTTGGAAAGCGAGTCGGCAGAGCGCTCAGGCAATATTCCCACAGTACCTCATCACATCCTGGCATCAAAGCAGAAACCATGGTAATTGGGTTTCCCCATGCTAAGTCCCAACTTCTCTTGTTTGTTGGTATTGCTGTGCGCCCGGAGCCTCCGTCACGGATCAGTGGCCACTGTGCCAGGGCTGCCTCAAGGAGCTTACAGTGCAGGCATAAAGAAACAAGCAATGCCGAGATGAAGGCAGACAGGAAAGCATGATTGAAGAACAAGTCTCTAAGGTCCACAATGTTTTTAAGCAATCCTGGAGCGCTTTCCAAATGGTATAATTGGAAACAACATAACTAAAGGCTTGAAAGGAGGCTATTCAAAAACTAGTAAAAATCTGAGCGGGCCGAGGCTTTCAAGCCAATCTCTTGTACAGCTTTAATGCAGAGAGATGCAGCAATGCCCTCCCCAGAGACCCTAATCCAGGACCTCAACACATGACCCATCAGAGAGGACAGGTTGTAAGGAAGGGATATGAAAATGGTAGGCCTTGCCTAATAACTGCAGGGGCAATACAAGCCACTTTTAACCCCTACTTTTGTCAATTCGCAGAAGTAACGAAGGTTCATGTGCTAAATAAAATGTGTGAATTCAGCCCAGCAGGCAAGCACCATACCTCTAGGGATGGTATGAGGTGACAGCAGCAATTCCCTCAGAATAACAACACTTCTAATATCAGTGTACAATGAGGAGTAGCGCTGCAGCATCCTGAAGACTGATGCTGCCTCTTCTCTATCTCTGGGATACTCCTGGATTTAGGAGTGCAAGCAGCCCTGCTCTGGAAGACTTTTAAATCTGATGGGAAGGAGACAGAGAGATTGCAGCAGTCATCTACGAGCAACACAGTGTTAAATAAAGACTTATCATGCAGTACTTTGCTGCAGAGCAACCAAAAAGGTGAAAAGCCTGGAGAGAGAATCTGGAGTAAATGGAACTTTCAACCCTTGATTGGGAACAGTAACAAAACAAACAAAAAATCCATCATGCTAATAGAAGAGAAAGCGGTGGGTCTCAGACTAACTACACCAGGCACTTAGCCTGTAGCTGGCTGGTAACACCCAAAATGGAGAGGAAGGAAGAGCATGAGGGGAAGAAAAAGCCAGGGAACAACATGCCAGCCCCGTCACAGAGCCTCAGAGAGACCCACAGAGAGCCCAGCACCTGCCTCTGCTGGAGCGGGTTAGTCTGGGTTTGTCACCCTCAGTGTCACCCAGGTCCAGGCTAT